CCGCGCGACCGAGGCGGCGGCGGGAAGGCCGGCCCCACACGGCAACGTAACCAACGTTGGTCTGAGCGCGAGCCTTTTTGCATCGGGCGCGGATCGGCGTGCCTGGCCTGGGCTCGCCGTCGTTTTCTTGGGCGTCGGTCGGCCCGCAGATGCCGCCGAAAGCCGAAGGCAGGGCGGGTTGAGAAGACTGCTTGCAAGCTTGGCCTGCAGGCTTCGGCGTGTTGGGGCGGGAAGCGGTCCGCTCTCGCTCACCTTGTCGGAAGTGGCCCGAGCCGTCGGGTTGCCCAGCCTGACTCGTCAAAAGCCGAGGTTTGGGGCCCTACCTGGTTGGCTATCTCCTGCTCCCGCTGCTGCTGCTTCCGCTGCTGCTGCTGCTGCTGCTCCTGCCCAGGCTACCCACATCTCCCTCGTCGACCGACCACCACCACCACCATCACCACTGCCACCACCACCGTCTTGGTCCCGCTCAGCTTCTCCCGTCTTGCCCCGTCAAGACCATGGCCCATCTCTACCCGCACCTCCGCATCCACCAGGTCTTTGGCGCCAACACCGACGTCGGCAAGACCATCTTCACGACGGCCCTCTGCCTCGCATCTGCAGCCCTCCCTCGCGATGCCACCGCATCATCCCCTCCCCCGCAGCCCCCGCTAGAGGCGGCTGCCCTCGGCTTGGGAGAGCGCGTCCACTATCTCAAGCCGGTCTCGACCGGCAACATCGACGACTCTGACGACGCCCACATCGCCAGCCATGCCCCCTCCACCTCCTACACCACCCTCTACCGCTTTGCGGAACCCGTATCCCCCCACCTCGCAGTCGAGCTCGAGAAACGCGCAATGCTCAGCGAGAGAGAAGTCGGCGGCGCTCCCGCACCACCCACCGACGTCGACTTTGTGCGTCACGTCGGAGACTGGCTTCACGACGCTGCCGCGGCTTCCTCCCCCTCGTCCTCCTCCTCTGGGCCCGCTGCCGTCGCCTACGTCGAGACTGCGGGAGGCGTGCACTCGCCCGGACCCAGCGGAACCTCGCAATCGCAGCTCCTGCGCCCGCTCCGCCTCCCCACCATCCTCATCGGCTCTTCGGAGCTCGGCGGCATCTCGACCACCCGCAGCGCCTACGAGAGCCTCATGATGAACGGCTACGATGTCGAGGCCGTCCTCCTCTTCCCATCGCGGCGCTACGGCAACGTCGAGTACCTTCGCAGGTACTTTCAAGAGGAGCACGGCATCCCCGTCTGGGGCCTCGGCGGGCCCAACGATCCATCTCTGTCGGCCGACGCGCACGCCTGGGGACCTCCGCCGGTGCGTAATTCGGACTCGAGCGCTGACCGCGCCGCGATGCAGGCCTTCTACAGGGGTCTCGTGCAAGGCCGGTCCGCCGAGGACATCCTCAGGACCGGCGGCGAGGGAAGCAAAGAGGAAGATGTCGGAGGCGTGTACTCGGTGGTCCACCACCTGCGCCAGAGGCACCAGGCAAGGCTGCGGGAGATCTCGACGCTGGCCAGCCGGACTCGCCAGACGTGCTGGTGGCCCTTTACCCAGCACACCCTCACCAAGAGCGACGCCGAGGTCAACGTCATCGACAGCGCTCATGGCGATTTCTTTGCCGCCCTCGATCAGCGTGGCGGCGCGAAGCGGGCAGACGGAAAGCCCGTTAGCCTGCTTCAGCCGCTGCTCGATGGCTCGGCGTCGTGGTGGACCCAGTGCCTCGGCCATGCCCCCAATCGTCTGGTGCAGGCTGCGGCCAAGGCCGGCGCCCGGTACGGCCACGTCCTGTTCCCGAATGGCGCCCACGAGCCGGCACTCTACCTGGCAGAAGCCCTGACGGGTAAACACGGCGGAAGCGGCAGCACCGGCGGCGATCTCGGCACGCATCCTGGCGCCGGTTGGGCTTCGCGCGCCTTTTTCAGCGACAATGGCAGCACCGGCATGGAGGTGGCGATCAAGATGGCCATCCAGTCTTCGCTGGTGCGCTACTCGGTCGACCGGCCTTCTAGCGAGGCTGCCGGAAAGCGTGCCGAAAAGGGCAGGCAGCCTGGTTACATGTCTGGGCGGCCCAAACGTGAATGGGAGGTGCTCGGCCTCAAGGGCAGCTACCACGGCGACACGATCGGTGCCATGGACGCTTGCGAGCCGAGCGTCTACAGCGAGGCGGTCGACTGGTACCGCGGGCGCGGTCACTGGTTCGAGCCGCCGCTGGTTGAGGTCAAGCAGGGTCGGGTGACGATCAGCCTGGCAAGGACGGGTGACGACACCTCGCTGGTCAAGGACGGAGACGTGCCCGAATCGCTCAGGCCCTGCCAGACCGAGGCTGGCAAGCCCGCCAAGGTCTACGAAGCGACGTACGCTTCGATGCAGGAGGCCTACGACGTCGAAGCGAGGTTGCGCACAGATCCACTGGCGAGCGTCTACCGCCGCTCGATTCGCGCCGAGCTCGAGCGCCTGGTTGTGGTCGAGGGACGCCGGTTCGGTGCCGTCATCCTCGAACCGCTCGTGATGGGCGCGGGCGGCATGCTCTTTGTCGATCCGCTCTTCCAGCGCACCTTGATCGACGTCGTGCGCGAGAGCGAGGACCTGTTCAGCCTCACCGACCCGCCGTCTCGTACGGCGCGCACGCCGACGCACAACGCATCGCGGCCATCGGGACGCGAGCGACGGGACCAGAGCGAGTGGCAGGGCCTGCCGATCATCTTTGACGAGGTGTTTGCGGGCCTGTACCGACTCGGCCACGCCACGACCGCGTCGGTCCTTGGGGTGACGCCCGACATTTCCTGCCTGGCCAAGATTCTGACGGGCGGTATGGTGCCCATGTCGGTGACGCTGGCGTCGAGCAGCATCTTTGAGACTTTCAGCCGGAGCGAGAGCAAGGTCGACGCCCTGCTGCACGGCCACAGCTACACGGCGCACCCGATCGGATGCCAGGTCGCGCTCGAGACGCTGCGGACGATCGCAGAGCTCAAGAAGAGCCAAGGATGGACGGGCGCGCAGGGCCAGTGGCTGGCCCAGCGCGATGGCGAATCCGTCCCTGCCGACGCCACCGCCACCTCGGCGCCAACTTCAAACAGCGACGAGGCCAGCGGGGTGCGGAACGGGACTCCGGGCGCCTGGTCTTTCTGGTCGCCCGCGGCTGTCGACCAGCTGTCAAAGCTGCCCAACGTCGACCACGCGATCGCCATGGGATGCGTGCTCAAAGTCTGCCTCAAGGATGGAGAGGGCGGGGGCGGCTACACGTCGACGGCGTCGGTCGACATCCTCAAGAAGCTGCGCACCCATCCCACGGCGCTGCAGGGACACGCTTCGGTGCCCGCCTCGACGCCGTCGCAGCAGCCGGGGGATGCCGATGCGGTGCTGCCTTTCAACGTGCACGCGCGCCCGCTCGGCAACGTCATCTACTTTATGTCGAGCCTCAACACGCCCAATGAGGTGCTGAGGACCACTGAGAAGGTCGTCACCAAGGCTGTCAGGGAAGCCGCACGGTAGGCGTCGTCGTCGTCGTCGTCGTCGTCGTCGTCGTCGTCGTCGTCGTCGTCGTCGTCGTCGTCGCCGTCGCCGTCGCCGTCGCCGTCGCCGTCGCCGTCGCCGTTGCCATTGCCATTGCTGTAGAGTCAAGCGATGTTCGGAAGAGGACGGCCGTGTCTGCATGGATGAATAGAGGGCCTCGCCTTGTACCTGTGCCCCGCGGTGCTAATGAAAAGTGCCCGCAATTCCCATTGCCCTTTTGCTCTTAGCCCGTACCCGCCCTCGCGGGCGGCGTAGGTGTTCTACTCGTCATCGACATCTACTCGTCCAGCATGCCCTCTGCGACCTCTACGACCCTCCTCATGCGCTTCCTCCTGCCCACGTCCTCGGTCTCAAAGCAGCAGGGGACCCTGCACTCCTCGAGCTTTCGTTGCTGCCTGGCCGTCTCCTCTTCCCACTTCTGGAGCAGCGAGCGTGCCAGCTTTTCCTGCTCGTACTTGCGCGTCTTTGGGTCGACGCCGGGGCGGGAGAGGGTCTTTTGCAGGCGTGCGTACGAGGCGTGGAGGGAGCGTTCGAGGTCGTCCTGACCCTTTTTGAGCGAAGAGAGCGACGAGAGGAAGGTGCTCGACTGGCTCAGCTCGGTGAGGTGCGGCAGGGCGGCGGGGAACGAGAGGTCGCGCAGGTTGGGAGGAGGCGGTGCTGCCTTCCCGGCTGCGGTTGCGGAGGTCGTCGAGGGGTCTGGCGACTTTGCGTTGGGTGGCGAGCGCGATTTGCTGGACGACGAAGATGGCGAGTCGACCCGGGCCTCGTCGTCCTCGTGCTTCCTCTTGGTCGCCAAAGTAGCAGATATCGGTTCATCGACAGTGATTGCGGGTCCGTAGGGATCGTAGGCCTGGCTGTCGTCGAAGTGGTGCCCTGTGCCGTAACGCGGCTGAACGTTGTACGTCCTCCGCTTCGGCGCCGTTGCTGCTGCTGCGGGAGACGCGGGCGAGTAGGCCGCGGAGGAAGTCGAGGGGTAGTAGGCGTAGGAGTCGGCTAGACCTGGGATGGGTGCGTTTGTGGCCGCCGTAGACGAGGCCGGTGCGTAGGAATAGGGAGATGGAGCAGACGAAGTCGAGGACGATGCGGCATCCTGTTGCTGTCGTAGCCGCGCCAGGAGGGCCTGCACGCCGTGCGGGTCGTCTTGTTGCTGCATGGGCGAAGGGCGCGGGAGAGCGGGGCTAGGTGAGCTCAAGGTGTACGGCGAATCGGCGCAGGGGAGCCGTTCGAGCGAGATGGAGTCGGCCGGAGTGCTTACCTTGTTGAGGTCCATGGCGGTGGCAAAGGCAAGGGTGATGTTTCTTGGACGATTGCGGTCGTGGCAAGCAGATAAGAGGGTTGGCGTTGACCGCGAAGAAGAGATGTCAAAGCAGGTCGGAAGCAGGGACCCGAGAGAGAGACACTAGAGAGACAGACAAAAGGTGGAGGGGCCCGGTGGGCAGCCCGCCCACGCAAAGGCTGCGCTTTGGACACGACGCGCCCACAGAGAGAGAGAGAGAGAGAGGCCCACAGCCAAAGCCAAGGCCGCCTGGCCGGGTCTGTCGCCTGGGCCCCGTAACCAACACTACTCTTTCGCAAGGGCTGGCTTACCACCATCAGTCCACACCAGTCCACGCAACCCGCTCACGCCGGCCCTCCCGACCCCTTACCACCGCTTGCAACCTCACAGCATGCCACCGACACGCTACGACATCGATCAGGACATTGACGACCTACACGACCTCACACCGCCACGGCCACCGCCACGCGGTGCACGGCCATCCGTACCTCCCGCCGTCGCACTGCTACCAGACCTCGATGCGCTCCCTTCCTCGAGCACCGACCGGACCAGCAAGCGCACAGGAGCGCCCTCCACGCCGCCGCCACCGCCCCTCGCACAGCTGACGACGCACTGGATCAACCAACGCACCTCGCCCGAGCTGCTTCCCTACCCGACCGCATGCATAGCCACCCTCCTCTCCCAGATGGACCAGCAGCAGTCGATCCTCGACTCGCTCTCGTCCTTGCCCCCCTCTGACGACGCACAGGAGATGGAGGACGAACACCTACGCCTCCAGTGCGTGCTCCTTGACCTCGAGCGCGCACGGTGGCTGTTGCGCAGCTACCTCCGCGCTAGGCTAGCCCTCATCGAGAAGTATGCCCCCTTCCTCGTTAGGGAACGGCAAAGAGGAGAGGGCAGAGGTAGGCTGAGCAACGTAGAGTGGGAGTTTTGCACCAGGTGAGCCGAAAGCCTCGTCGCTCCTCCATCCCCCGATGCCAGAGATGTTCGCGCCGCCCGACCCTCGGTCACTAATCCGTCGCTTCGTCTAACGTGCCCGCCTCCCCCCCTCCCCCGGAACAGGTACAACGATCTGCGTACCTCACACCTCCAACATACGGTGCTCCAGTTCCTGCCAGAGCAGATGCGCGGGATGGACGACCAGGCCCTCAACTCGAGCGGCGCCGACAGCGGGAAGGGCGACATGGTCGAGCAGCCAGACCTCGACTCGCCCGTCTTTGTGCGCTGCCGCGAAGAGTGCGGCAACCTGCTGCTGCCCGAGTGAGTCTGCCCCAACGCTCGCTGCCCGCGATCCCCTCCACCTCTCACCTTTGCCCGACGGAGGTACCCGCCCAGGATAGGTCGACTTACGAGCTAGTCCGCCGCCGCCGCCTCCCCTCGCTCCGTCAGCGGCGAGACGGCCAACCTATCCAAGGATTCGGTCCATTTCCTACGCTATCGATCGGTGCGCCATCTCGTAGCCCAGAACCTCGTCCAGCTCATATAAAGGCGCCCTCTCGGCCGCACTACACAAGCAAGCCATCTGAATCCGTGCACGCCCATCGGGCATGGAAGCGAGCAAACGCAACGCATCCAGACGACATCGATCCATTCACAAGCCAATCGCATCTATGCCGGTCGGCCAACGGCGGATCCGCGGCCGGCCATACAGGGGCCAGGCCGCCGGTCGGGCTGCCCTCGACCCCACCTTCGCGCTGGGAACGCGCGGCTGCCGCTACTGGTCCTTCTTGGTCTCCTCGACTTCCTCTTCGTCGTCCTCGCCCTCTTCCCGCTCGTCGGCAACCACGCCGCGGAGCGCCCTGTTGCAGATTCGTATCCGGAGATCAAAGGGCCAAACGAGCCAAGGGCCACTCGATATCAGCCGCCGCCGCTGCCGCCGCCGCCGCCGCCGCCGCCAGACCTGGACCCCACGACGCGCCCGCCACTCACCGGATCATGATGCGCCACATGAGATAGTACCAGAAGATGTTGAGGAGGAGGAGGATAAAGAGGGGCGCAAAGATCTGGTACTTCATCCAGGGGACGAGCCACCAGCCCTTTTCCGGGTTCCACTCGCGCGTCCAGGAGGGGATGAGGTCAAACTGGAACCACACCGAGACGAGCGTCTTTGCGCTCAGGTAGATGCGGAAGTAGGTCCAGATGACCATGAACACGGCAAAGACGCCGGTGGCGAGCGTGTCGAGCTGCATGTAGTTGAGCGCCTTGGCCATGCCGAGCCACGTGTCGGGGATGTCCATGCACACAAAGACGGTGGTGCCAATCATGGTGAGGTTGATGAGGTACGACCAACCAATCAGCCACAGGGTGACGAGGTGGTGGGCGATGAGCTCGTAGTAGTCCTTGCGCGGCTTCTCGAGGCGGAGCAGCATGACGAGGGCCTGCTGCAGCCAGTAGGCAAACTGGAGGAGGTAGTAGAGCTTGAGGTCGGGCCGCATCTGCCAGTGCGGGTACTTGAGCCACAGGTGCTCGAGGTTGTACCACCAGCTCTCCTGGAACGACATGACGTAGAGGCCAAACGCGGCGGCGCTGCCCCAGTACAGGACGGCGTAGCCCTGCTCGGTGAAGCGCGCCTGCTTCGACTCGCCCTTGATGCCCCACCACTTGGCAAACGGCTTGAAAAAGTAGAGGGTCGTCGTCTGCCGGATAAAGCTGAAGACGATGACATAGAAGACGAGGAACTTGAGGTCGTTGTAGCCCTTCTGGTAGCGCACCAGGTCGGCATCGCCGCTGCGCGACCACACCGACTGGATGGCCTGGCGGATCGAGGACGTGGCGGCGGCGACCGAGGTCGTGTCGACGAGCACCTGCGACTTGGGGACCTGGTGCGTGATGAAGAGGAACGGGCGGAAGGGGTTGCGCTCCTCGTCGCCCAGGAGGTTGCAGAGCAGGTAGCTCAGGATGAAGATGCTGGCGAGCTTTGCCGACGAGACGGGCGCCGTCATCCAGCGGAAGGTGAGGATGTCGAGGACGAGGCCGCGGCTCTGGTGGATGTCTTCGCGGTCGACGCTCCAGCCGCCCGCCTGGCGCTTGGCGTCGGCGCTGGCCTCGGACTGCTGCTTGCCCGTGACGGCCGAGACGGCGCTGGCCTCGTCCTGGGAGTTGGCGTTCTGGGGCACCTGGGAGATGGCGTCGCTCAAAGAGCCGGCACGAGCTCGACCCGTGGCCGGGCGGGCGGGCGGTGGCGCGGACATGGTGTGGAGCACGGCGGGGACGGTCGTCGAGGTGGGGATCGAGGGTCAAGTGGTGACGGTGGGAAGGAAAGGTTGGTGCAAGGCACCTCGTGGTACTCGATTCGGTATGCGAAAAGGAGGGCAAGAGCAAGGATGGTCCGACCACCGAACGCGGCCCAAGAAAGAGAAGGCAGACGCCGAGCGGCTTCCGGTGCCACCTTGGTTTGCGGCGAAGAAAAGGAATTTCGATTTGGCCATACACGATCTGCAGGACCCGCTATACGAGTTCAGCTCCCTGATCGACTCTTTTTCGCAAAGTCGAGGGGTGCAGGTGGAACGGCCGCCATGGGCACGGCCTCGACTCAGCCAGAGAGATCAGATAGATTTTCATGGAGTGAAGGAAAGCCGTATGAGACAGTTTTCGTCGGCATTCTCAGTAGCCTAGCCCAGACAGATTCTCGGGTTCTCCATCTGTCGTCGAGACGCGCAGAGCACTGCTCCGCCTCGATTCGCCGGTGCAGTCGTGCTATGTACGGCACTCCCTGCCTACTCTGCTACTCTACGCAACATGCTGAGCGGCTCCCGGCTGCACCATTGCCCCATCGCAGCGAATCGTGCGTAACGCCTACGCCCTCGTCCTGGATTCGGGAGCCGGGCGACTGCGAGGCTACGGACGTCGCAACTCGCAACTCGCAAAAATCGGCGATGCGACGCCGGCGAGATGTCCGCCGAGCGCGGGCGGCTCAAGCAAGGGTCAGGCTCACTCTTCGTTCCGCCGCTTCATCTTTGGCGGCCAACACGTACTTCCGCCGGCGGAGACCTCGGCGATGCACCCGAGCGAGGGAGGGAAGGCAGGCCAGACAGAAGAGAGACACCTGCCGGCGGGTCGAGCGTGCGACACACAAAGGGGATCGACCAGCAGCAACCAGCAACGGCGCAAGGGTCATCGTGGGTCTCGTGCACGTCTGGCCTGAGCCTGGCCTGGCAACAGCAAGCGAGCGAGGCCCCACCGACGCGCTGTCGATCGACTTTGGGCCGATGAGCCCCGCTGCGTGGCCTGCTGGCCGGCTGGGGGACCTCGGGACTCGAGATTTTTGACCGACCATGCTCGCGCCGGTTTCGCAAACGGAGCGGGGGGCTTGCCAAGCGGGCAAGCAGAGAGGGGCAAGGGATCCGCTGCTCAGCTGCTCAGCCGCTTGGCCGCCTGCACCTCGCCTGCCTTTTGGCTCGGCGTGCAGCCGGGTACATGGGCAGGCGGGCGCAACGGGGGAGCAAGAGAGAAGCAAGCAGCTAAGCAAGCCAGGCCAAGCAGCCAACGTAGGCCAAGAAGGCATGGCAGGCAAGCAGAGGATGGGCGTCGCCTCGATGAAGGCAGCGAAAAGGGGCTGCTGGCCTGACGAGGTCGTTAACGGCCCGCCTGCCTGGCTGCGTGAAGCGTAGTGTGCCTCGGATCGCCCGCTCGCTCGCCGCTGTGGTGGGCGTCGTTGACCATGACCTGCCTTGCTTGCTTGCTTTGCTTGCGCCAAAGCTTAAGGCCAAGTGGGTGCCTACCGTGTCGCTGGCTCGCCTGCTTGCTTGCTTGCTTGCTCGCTCTACGCTTCTCTGAAACCCGGCGGGCGAAGGCGCAAAAAAGGGGGGGTGGTCCCCCTTTCAAGCGAAGCGCAAGCTGGGGCAATTGAAGCCAGCCCAGCCAGGCCATGCCATGCCACGATTCAAATTAATCGTAATCCCAACGAGGCGGCCGCAATCTGACTTTTGTATTGCGCCGTGCAGGCTGGCGAGTTTCGAGGGGGCCCAGCGGCCCCTCTGCTCGCCTCCCTGCACGCCCCCAAGCAGCTCCGCGCGCCCAACACCGAGCCCAACACCGCCAGACGGTGCCATCCATCATCAGCGCAGCCACACTGCTCCGCTCTCGCACCTCGCTCGGTTGCACACGATCCAGCCAACGACCACCACCACCACCACCACCACCACCACCACCACCAATACCATCATCTGTACCACGACCTCTTCCACCACCCTACCCCTGCTATCCATTCCACTCGCTCCTCGGGCTGCGATCACCTGCAACACGCACGCACTTCCAACCGTCTAGGCACCGTAGTGCCTCCGCCCTCCTCTTCACGCGCCTCTCCGCTCTCGCTGCGCCGACCTGCATACGTGTCAAAACCAGTTCTACACTCCCCATCCCCTCCCCTCCCCTCCCCTCCCATCCCCTCCCCGCACGGCACGCGATCCCGGAGATCGTCACCCGCACCCAATCTTTTGCCACCACTCGCAGCTCCGGATCGCGTCTCCACCTTGCTCTGCTCCTCTGCTAGCGCATCCCGCGATAGGGCCACCTTCTCTTTTTAGCTGCTAGCCCGCTCGACCCGCCTCACAACAGCTCGACGCACATCCATCGCGCATCCCTTCCCCAGCTCGACATTCTGCCAATATGAAGTCCGTACGAACGCTGGCGCTCGCCGTACTTCTCTCCTTTGCCACAGCTCAGGCGGCACAGCATCACCAAAACCATCACCAGCACCTAGTCAACCGCGACACCCACGTCCTCCTTCCTCGACTTCTTGGTGGTGTCAACGATCCCTCCTCGGCCTCAGAAACCTCCGATTCCTCGACGTCGCAGTCCTCATCTACCTCCGACTCTTCCGAGGACGTCACGTCAACTTCGCGGGCCGCCGCCGCCACCACGACCTCGGCTGCGGCCGCCAGCTCGTCTTCGGCCGCCGCCGCTTCCTCTTCCTCGGCTTCTCGAGCCTCGGCATCCGCCTCCTCGGTGGCCGCTGCCGCCTCGAGCTCGGTCGCCGCAGCGGCGTCCAAGTCGGCGTCAGCTGCTCAGGAATCCCAGTCTTCTGCCGCCGCCGCCAGCTCCAGCTCCGCAAGCTTGGCCAGCGCCAGCTCTGCCAGCCTTGCTAGCGCATCGAGTGCCGCCGCCGCTGCCGCCTCCTCCTCGACCGTTTTCCTCACTCAGACAGTCGCTGCCCCGACCGCGGACCCTACTTCGTCGAGCGATGCTGCCGCTGCTTCGCAGACCGCCTCTTCCGACAGCAGCTCGGGCGGCGTCAGCACCGGCCTCATCATCGGCATCAGTGTTGCCGGCGGTGTGCTGATCCTCGCGGCGCTCGTTTTCCTCTACATGAAGTTTGGCGGCAAGCGCTTCGACGGCCTCGACGACAACGACACCGACATCAAGTGGCCGGAGCTCAAGCAGGACCCAGACTCGGCCGCGATGCAGCCCCTGCCTGCGCGACGGACCGGCGGTGCGGGCTTCGACATGGGCGAGGACTCGGACAATGGCCACGACGGCGGCTACGGCTCCAGCCTCAAGGGCCGCGACTCGTTCACCGGCAGCACCACGGCGCTCGCGGCCGCCGCCCCCGGCTACCCGGTCAATGACGCGCACTACGCTGCGGGCGGGATGGACGCCGGCTACATGGCCCACCAGCCGGCGATGCAGCCCGGGCAGTTTTACGACATGTACCCGCAGAACACGGGCGGCTCGATGGCTGGCGATGCCCAGGGCGGCTACCACGGCGGCTACAACGATTCGGCCATGCAGCAGCAGTACTCGGACGCCCACCACGCACAGGCCGGATACCCCAACAACGCCGGATACCCGGACGGCGCCAACCCGTACGGTGCCGATCCGTACTCGCAGGCCCATGCACACGTCAACATGCAGCCGCAGCAAGGCGGCCAGTACCACTGAGCGGAAGGGCGGAACGAGCGAGGAGGCCGGCCCTCCTTGCTATTCACCCCTGCCCCTGGGCTCTGGATGCGCAACTCTGCCGACGCCTGATACCACCCCACGTTGCTGCCTGTTTCCGCCTTTCGCCGTGGCGATCGATGGGCAATCATGGACTTTCCTTTTCCTCTCCTCCCCCTGTGGCTTGCCTTGATTGCAGCGCGTCCTCCCGGCTGCTCTATCTCCTTTGCCCTATCCCTCCTCGCACACCGACGACGACGACGACGATCGGGATGCGCCGGCCCCTCTCTCTGTCACATCTGACGACCTCGCTCCCTCGATTCAGCGCGTTCCGATGTGCGGGGGGCAGGTGCGTGTCTCGTTGGACGCGTACAGCCCACAAAGTGAGGGCCCGTTCGGCAGTGTACGACTAGACTAGACTAGAACTAGAGCTAGCGCGCAGTTTCCGCGAGGAAAAAGGCGCAAGATGCTGCTCGCCACTCGCAAATGCAATGGGTCGACGATGACGACGATGCTGACAGTGCTCGTGGTGGTGGCGCGCCTGTGTGCTGCGCTGCGGCCTATCGTGCTTTGGATTCGTGAGAGCGAGGAAGCGGGCAAAGCGAGGCAAAAGCACCCTTGACCATGCATGCTGTGTGAAGCGGCAGGAGAGGAATCAGGATACGTCCATCCCAGTCCCAGTCGAGGGTGGTCGGCCCTCTTCCTGCGCCGCCACCGCCACCGCCGCCGACGCCGACGCCGACGCCGACGCCGACGAGTCGAGCGAGGGATCGATGAGACTATCGAGCTGCATCCCCTCCCCGCCGTCCGAGGGGGGCGAAAATCTCGCCTTCTTCCTCTCACTCCCCCCCCCTCCTCCACCACCGGCGCTGGCACCGACTTCGACCTCGTCTCGATCCACCACGACCGACGGCTCATCAAGCACTCTCCGAACCGTATCGACCAGCCCCAGTCGGTCCTGCAGATCCCGACGTACGTAGGTGACGAGGTAGGGCGTAGCCCCCGTCGTGTCCCTCAGTACGTCCTTCGCCTCGGCCACCGAGACGACATTGTCGTTGTACTTGAACCACTTCCCCTCCCCTCCTTGCTGCTGCTGCCCCGCCGCCGCCGCCGCCGCCGCCGACGACGACGACGACGAGAGGCAGCGTTGGTTGAGGAAGTAGTGGCCGTGCGATGCCTCGCCGCGGTGCATAAATACCGCCGCCAGGCTGTACTCGGCGCGCTTCTCGTCGGTCCAGATCGACGTCATCTCCTCCTTGAGCGCCGAAATTGCCCGCTCGCTCGACGAAATCTCAGACACGACCGAGTCCGACTCGGCGTGCAGGAAGCTCAGGAGGTCCGGCGTGATGAGCGACGAGAGCGGCTCACTCGGCGGCGCCGGCGTCGTCGTTGCGTCTTGGTCGGCTGCGTCGGTGGCGCCGCGGATGTCGGGCGTGCCGCCGCCGCTGGCGCTGCTGGTGTCCATCTGCGATGAGCCAGCACCGGCACCATCCTCGAGGGGGGCAATCTGCGCCAGATCCTTGAGCACCTGCTCCGTGTTGAGGAGGCTCTGCGACATCGCCGGCTTGCCGTTGGGCCGCAGCTCCGCCATCCTCGCCCGGAGCGCGGCAATCTTGCGCCGGGCCTCTCGCGACCTCCTGCGCTTGTCGAGTCGCACCTGATCCTCGGGGTCGGCCGGATCGAAATCGAGATAGCGGTCCATGTAGAGCGTCTCGTACATTTCGAGGTGCGCCTGCGACTTGAACGCCCGCATCGTCTGTCGGTCGTACTGCACCCGCTGCAGCTGGATCTGCAGCAGCGGCGGCGGTTCCAGCAGAGTCACTGTGCGCCTCACCGGCTTGCCCTCGGAGCCGATCAGCGTCTCTTCGTCAAAGAAGCCGTCGAGTCCGTCGTACAGGTCCCGGCCTTCCTCGAGCACGTCGACGGGCAGGATCTTGAAGACCTCCTTTTTGGTGTGGATGCTCGGCCCCTTGGCAGCATCCGGCTCGACCAGCTCCAGCTGCTGGCACGTCTTGCCGAGGAACAGCTTCGACAGAAGATCCTCGTCCGCCGAAGCCTCTTCGAATAGGGGCGCCGAGTTGTCGTCCACGTCCATGCGGCCCGTGTCGGCCGGAAGCTCGGCGCCGCCTTGCGACTCATCGACGGCGTTGTTCTGGGCAGCCAGGGCGATCTCGAGCTGGAAGAGACAGTTGTCCAGGCACTCGCTGACGTCTTGCTGGGCGCCGAATTGCATCAGCGAGTTCTGGCGAGCGGGCGGGGGTACCGCAGCATCGCTGCTGCTGGCAATCATCGGTGCGGCGGGAGTGTCCGCGCGCTTTGGGCGGCGCGGAAGCGGGGGCGGCACCGCGACCGTGGCGGCCCTGCTCGGCGGAAGGGCGATACTTGCGGGGTCCGCGGCCGGTGGACTGGACGAGACATCCATTGTCACCGATCGGCTCGGCGGCAAGGGGACGTCGGCAGCATCCGCCGCATTTGCCTCGCCTGCCGGATCCCCATCGACTGGGCCAGTGCCGGTCGGTGGTGCGGTGATCTGAGTCTCGGACTGGTCCATTGACTCTGCCTGGTCGACAGACGCTGCTGTGGCGCCTTCGCCTTCCGAAGGCTCTGGCAGCAGCGACTTCTCCTGGACGGGCGAGATGGACGTCGGCTCCTCGGATAAGATTGTCTGGCTCGGACCAACTTTTGGCGTGGCTGCGGCCCCGCCCGCGACCGCCTCGTCCTCTTCGACCCTCGAGGAGACTAATGCGAGGTAGGCCAGCTCACGCTTCGGTGTGACGGCCAGGTCGGGCGTATGGATCAGCTGGTGGAACAGCTCCGCTAGGTGCGTCACGAACCGCATCGACCGTTCGACCTCCCTCGCCGACACCTTGCGGCCACCGACTCTACGACTGCGGCTGACGGAATCGAGCGCCGCAGCCGGATCGTGCCCATGTTGCTGGCCTGTACCGGACGTCGCGGCGGCCAGCTGAAAGACACGCTCGCGGATCTCGCGGATGGTGAAAAAGTATTGCAGCACCGAGTTGAGGTAACACGTGTTGCCAATGTTGTTGATGCCGGCGGGACGGTCGGCCGAGGGCATCTGCTGCCAGGCGTCGTGTGCCTGAGTCTCCTCGGGCTTCTTGCCCGTCCTGAGGAAGGAGCGCAGGTACTCGCTCTTGCGGCTCTCGGCGATGCTGAAGAGGGCGTCGCGGAGCATCTCGGTCTTGCCTGGGGCATCGCCCACACGGATATCGTAGATGGCGAGCACCGTGACGTCGTCAAAGTCCTGGCCGACCTCGAGGAGCGTCGAGGCCTGGTCGAGCTCCATCTCGAACATGGCGTTGCACGCGTGGGCTAGCATGTCCGGGCTGCCCAGAGATTGGGAGATGACCTTGAGCGCCTCCTTGGCGCCGTGGTAGTCGGACGCGTCGCCACGAGCCGCCGCGTCGCGCAGACGAGCGCGGTACGAGTCGAGGATGAAGTCGTGCGGGATCTTGTTTCTGCTGACGGCGCCGCCGAGGTCCCTCTCGCTCAGCTGCAGTTGGCCGTAGGCCTTGTCGAGGTCATGCGTGGTGAAGCGGCCGCGGCTCTTTTCGTATGCGAGCAGCTCCCCGAGCACCTGAGAATCCTGCCTCTGGCCGGTCTGGATGGCCTCGACGCAGGTGAGCAGGAGCTCTGCCTGATTCGCATCGGTCTCGAGCTTGATCAGGTAGGCAAACTTGACCAGCTCGTCGCGGCTACTGACTGAAAGACCGAGGAAGTCGCAGGCCTGTCGAGTGGCAGGTGAGGCTTGGCTGTAGCGCGGGTCGACTGATTAGTTCTCGGACCATGCAGAGGTGTTTGTTCATGTCAGTACATTCCGAAGGAGGAGCCGCGTTCCTACAGGTTGAACGCTCCGCTCACCTTGGTCGCTGCGATAGTCGATCAGCTCCTTGAGCCGCAGCTTGGCGTCTCTGGTCATGACGCTGGTGATGATGGCGCCTGCTGGGTTGGGCTGGGAGAGAATCGACGATGCTGGGTTCTCTGCCTTGAGCAGCTCGGTCTCGTACGCAAGCCAGAGTTGCAGCTCCATCCATGCGCGTAGCAGCCTCCTCGACGCCTCGGGTCCGTCAGCGGGCCCGGTCGGCCTCACCGTCTCGCGCCCGTCGGTCGGGATGACGGCGGTGGTCCAGCCCAGCTGCTCGAAGATGTCGCGGACTATGTCGTCGTAGATCAGCTTCTGGCGCATGGTGGCGCCATGGGTGACGATGGAGCGCGTGTCGCCGTGGGCCGCATTGCCGACGACACGGACCAGGACGCGCAGCGCGCGGACGAACGTCTCCTGGGGTGACATGCCGACGGCGGGCTCGCTCCGACGGTTTTCGCGGAAGCGGATGAGGATGCGGCGGTCGATGACGGTGGTGATGGTGTCTGGCGGGCTCGACAGCAGGCGGTGGCCGGTGATCCAGCACTTGTGGCTGTTAAAATCTTCCACTACGACTTCGCCGCCGACAGCGCCGGCGTTCGAGCCGCCACCACTGCGGACGGGGTAGAGCTGCACGGCGGCCGGCAGCGTGGTAGGCACGGTTTCATAGACGCGGACGGAGCGCGGACGAAGGTTGCAGGCCTCGAAGAGGGCATCGATAGTGAAGATCGAGTCGTCCGGATTGGGTCTCTTGCTGAGTTTGGCCTCTTCGACGACGAGGCGCCATTCGAGGGTCTCGGGGACGAACATGGCGTCGGGGTGCGGTTTGGCAGCAAAGAAGTCGTCGACCGGGGGTGCCGGTGCGATGGGGGGCGGAGCTGCTGCAGCGGCCTCGGAGGTGGACGATCCTGCGGCAGCGACGACGGGGGAGGACGAGGTAGGTGGTGCGGGTGGGGCGTCGTCGGGCTGGGGGTCCTGCTCTACCCATACGTCGAGGAGGGAGAGGTTTGGGTTGAGCATGATGCCGGATTCCCAGAGTGCTCCGGGGAGGTGGATTGGGTAGCTGCCGACGGGGGTGAGTTTGCGCTCGATGGGTGGCCTGTCTGCGATGGGAGCGCCCAGGGCGGTGTGTGGGGAGTATGCGGGGAGGTGGACCGGGGCGTCGTCTGGCGGTAGCGTGCCATTGTCGTCGATGCGTATGTCGATGGGAGCGTCTTCGGGGGGCAGGGTGACGGGTGGCTGTGTGATGCTCTCTGCTATGATGGGTTCTGGGTGGGTGCCAGCGTCTGCGTCTGGACCGATGTCCCTGAGGATGCCCATGGTGGTTGCTGGGCTGGCGATTGGCGCCGCTCCTCTTGTGGGGGGAAGCGGTGCGATGCGGTGGGGAGCGAAGATGATTGTGCGGTGATGTGTGGTGCGTGCGTGGCGGGTGGTGTCGGTGAAGAGGAGCGTGTTGTTGATCGGCCAGGCGATGACGAGGTGCGGAAAGCAGAGGGCGGGCCAAAGGGCGGGCAAAGGCGGGTTGCGGGGGAGAGGGAGAGGGAGGGAGAGAGGGAGAGAGAGAGGGAGAGAGAGAGAGAGAGAGAGAGAGAGAGAGAGAGAAGAAGAAGAAGAGAGCGACCGACCCGACCCACGACGACGAGGAGGACGGACGACGAACCGGACCGGGCCGCGCGGCGCCGCGCGCGGCGTCGTCCGTCGACGACGCGCCGTACGTGT